ACACACACACACACACACACACACACACACACACACATTTGGCCACATCATCCTGCCCTTCTTTGCTCGAGCTCCCCATAGCTCATAATTGTTTCCCCTCAGTGCCTTAAACACCAAGATAGGGCCTCAGTCTTCTTACATGTGAAATGGGGTTGATGATGATGCCATCACATTCTGGTGAAGATAGTATAGAATGTGGCTGAGAACACAGACTCTGGAGCCAGACTGCTTGGGTTTCAAAGTGACTTTATTTCTTTATGCCTCAGTTTACCCTCAGTAGAATTTGGGATAGCAGTGCTACCTCAAAGGGTTGCTGTAAGGATTAACTGAAGTGCTGCAGATAAAGTGTTAGAATGGCACCTGCCGATAGAAGCATTATATAAATGAATTGGAAATGCTGTCTCCTATATGCAGGTCACAGACTTAAAACCCTACAGGCATTTGGTGGAGACTTCTGCTCCCCTTTATGTGGTTTGCACTGCTATGGGGGAGGAGTCCGCCTCTCTGCCCCTGGTAGTTACTTGGGCTCATGTGACTTGAGCTCCATAAAGGGTTCTAAGCAGAAGAGATGTGTGGTACTACTGGGCTGGAGCACTTAATTTCTAGTGGAGACACCCACCACTCCTCCCCCTGCTCTTTCCCTGCTTGGGACTCACAGAGGGGAGCTTGTGTCCCCGCAGCAGAGCCACGGTGACAGCCTGGGTGGCCAAGGAGGACAGCTGTCCTAAGGAGCCACCCAGACCTCCAGTGCCTTTGTTGTGCGAAGCCAGTGAGATTTGTGGCTGGCACTGCAGCAGAGCCTTGCTGTCCTGACCATTCTACACGAAAACCAGGGTGGGACGTTAGTGTGTGAATAACTGGCCCCTTGCAGATGGTTGTACACTGGATAGCACCTGGCCTCTCTGAGTTAGGTGGAAGCCACTAAATTGCAACTTCCTGTTGTAGGAAACAAGGACAAAAGGGGTTATATCTTCCAATTTCTCAGGAGAAGCCAGAAATGGGGATTCTTAAGTAAAATCTGGCAGCTTTTAAGTGCTGGTAATCAGATTAAGGACCCTGAGTGAGCCAAAGAAATCCTGCTTACAGACCAGATATGTCCAGAGGCCACCTGTCGTGACTCTGGCTTACCTGAGCAAACCTAACCTCTTTGGCCTGGCATTCAAAGCCCATCCTGGTCTGGCCCCAGTTGGCCTCTGTCACTCTGGCCCCCCCAGTTCTGTCACTCTGGACACTGCAGCTTTGGAGGTTCTAGTGCCCAAAGAGGCATGCTCTTGCCGGGACACAGGGGCAAGTGCCTTTGATCAGCGGGAGGAGGTGGCGCAGAGGAGGACACGCGGAACCGGGTGGGCTCTTGCAGCCCCACTGTAAATGTGAATGGCCCGGGCAGTCCTCTTAGCTTGAGAAGAATTGGCAGGGCTCCAGTCATCTCCTCCTCCAGGAATAAGGTTTGCCATTCTGCTGGGCATTCTGCCCTGAATGTTGTGAGCAGGCCCAAAGTCCAGCTGTTCTGCGAGCCAGGGGACCTCAGACAGCTTAGTTGAGGGGCTGGTAAGCATCAGTTACACCCCAAGATTGAATGCAGGAATGGGAGCTGTGCTCGGCCTCACGACCCTTCCTCTCCGGAGTCTCCTTTCAGGAAGGAGGCCTACGGGAGCCTTGGAGGTGTTTGTTGTTCCCCAATCCTGTGCGGAGAGGAAGAACTGCACAGCCCGGGGCGGGGACTGTCAAGCTGGGACAACACGCCTCTCAGGTCTCCCACCTCAGGGACATGGGTGGCACGCTGAGGTCCACAGGAGCGAGATGTTTCCCGCTGCCACTGCAGGCCCAGTGTGACAGCCGGGGCTGGGCCATCTGGTGAAGGTGGGGCTCAGGGACCAGGAGTTTCAGAGATGGAAACGAATCCATATGGGCTCACTGGCAGCAATGGCTAGTCTCTCATCCAGTTACTTGTTGTATGACCACCTCGCCCAAGTTTCTGTCCCTTCAGGGCCTCAGTTTCTCCATCTTTCTAATAAAGTGGTTGGTCTTACATTTGTTGTAAGGATTTATTGGGTGAATGTATCTAAGGTATGCAACAGGTCAATGAGAGCTTAGAAGACACTAGTGGATATAATGGGATTCTGTCACATTGGGGGCCTGGCTGCGGCTGGGGTCCCCAACCTGGAAAACCTGACCCTCAGTCAGCAGTGTGCTGCTGTCCCCTCTGGGTCTCCTCCCCTGGGCTGCAGCGGCTCTATCCACTCCCTCCCCACCCACCGCCCGCCCTTTCCTTCTTCCACTTAGCAAACAGCTTCACTTAAAAAGCCATCTGGGAGGATGGATGGCACAAGGCACATTTTGCAGAAGTTTTCAGGGAGAAAAACCAAGAAAAAACACAGCACTTAGGATTCCACTCAGAGTAGTCCCCGTGACTGACTGCTGGGGAATTGTGTCTCTGTATTACTTTTCATCCCTCACCCCTGCCACCCGGTGCTCTGGGCTTTGTGCTCTGCTTCCAAGTCTCTGGCTGACTCCCTCCTTCTGGATAAGCTCCCCTCTCCTTCACCAGGGAGGGGGGGCAGTGGGCCTTCTCCTAATGCAGGACTCTCTCCCCTCCTGGGCACTCACTGTCCCACCTCCAGTAGCTGCCCCATTTCCCCAGGAATCCTGGGTGAAGCTTTATCTTCTGGAGGTTTCTCAGGGCAGATCTGGGGACAATCTGTGATATGTATTTACATTTAGGATGGATGGGCATCCCTGGGGAGGGGTAAAGAGCTCCCTGTCCCTGGAGGTGTACACAGAGGGCTGGTGAGCACTCAGCAGAGAGACCTCACAGGAGGCAAACCAGCAGAGAGGCTGAGAGCAGGGCTTTGGAGGCTGAGAGATCGGGGCTCAGTCCTGACCGCATGCCAACTATCAGGTGTCTGACCTTCAGCAATGACCTCTACTCCCCAAGCCTTGGTTTCTTCATCTGAAAAATCAGACAAAACAATAGTTTCCACTTCCCAGGGTTGTCATGGACACTAAATGACATAATGTGTGCAAAACACAGAGCACAGAGTGCATATTATCGTATGGAAATGGGGAGGGAGGCTGGTTGTGACACCTTGAACAATCTAAGATTCAAAATTTCTGTAGTTTTAAAAGCCTGACTCTGAGATCCAATAATTCAATTATCGTAAGATTCCCCAAGATTTTAAGGCTTTAAGAAATTACGATTTTATTATTCTAGTTAGTACTCTGAAGCTGTGTGCTTCAAACAACGATTCCCCCAGCAGCGGGGCATCCTCCCAGCCCCAGGCTTGTGTGATGGACAAGGTGTGTCTATCTCTGTCTCTCGCCTGACTTCAAATCTTCTGTCTTCATTCCCACCAGCCTTTCTACTTTGTTGGGATCTACTTTTATTAGACCCAGCCTTACCTACCAGATCCTTTGTCCCAGGCTGGCACCCCAGACTGCTCCATGTTCCTGAACCTCTATGCCTCTGTTCTTCCTCCCCCAGCCCCACTGAGCCCCATATCTGCCCTCTCTGAAATCTCACTAATTATCTTTCTTGGTGTTCTCAGTACACATTGTTTTAATCACTACTATAGCAACTATCACAGTCTGACTCCATTATTATTGGGAGAGAACTTCTGACTTTCACCCCATTAGAGGCAGACCCACCTCTAATGTCTTTCCAAGGCCCTTCTATGCTTCCCAAGGAAGGAAGCTGCATGGTTCCAATATGGCCAGAGGCGGGGCATTGATTTGGTCACACCCACTAGTGGCAGGTGCCACACATGGAAGGCGGTGGCACTGGACCAGCTCTCTCCGTTCGGCCTCTCCTTCCTCTCCCACTGCTGCAGCCAGGAGGCCAGTCAGCTCTGCAGACCCAGCCCCGGGAAGCCAGGGTGGGAGGACGCAGGAGGTCTCACTCAAGCTTTCCTTGGACCTCCAAGTGTTAGGCAGAAAAATAGATATGAGTGGGGTGGAGAGAGAATAAAGCCAGTAAAGCCCACTAAAAGGGACTCAAGGAGTTAACCAGATAAAACTAGAGATCAGGAAAGGACTCACAGAGCTAATGAGTTAATTAGTTGAAGTTCCAAAGGCCAGGAGTAACTTAGAATGTCCAGATATTCCCCAGATAAAGAAAAGTATCCAAGCACAGCCCATGTCTTCATGGTATCAATTAGACCATGCCAGTGTAAAATCTACTTAGCCTGCAAAAAGGGCCAGCTTATGCTTTAACTTAACCTATATACTGTTTTTCTCCTCTCCCTCTAGTCCCTAATCAAGTAACTTTGTAACCCAGGCAGGAAACAGACCTCAGACAAATGTGGACAAAGAATGTTGAGGTTACAAACCAACATAGTCTCCTAAACAACCCTATTTTTAAGACAAAACTCCAAAGGAATTGTGAATCACCTGTATACATCATGCCTTATGCTGACCCTTACCCAAAAAAGCCCTGTAAGTGCGCCCTACACCCTTAAGTGCGCCTCCTCTCTGTGGTTGCCCACACTTGCCTTTCTTTGAGGGTCACTCTCTCTGTCCTACTTCAGGTAAGCAGGGAGGGGCTGCTGAGAGCTGATTTGGGTGTGCAAGTTCCTGTCACTTGGGTGACCCAGGCAGAACTGCAGCTATGCGATCATGCACCTCAGTAGCCTGCCTGAAAATCTCTTTTCTTTGCCTTAGGAAGTTCTCAGAACATAATCGCACTCCATCCAGTGCTCTGTGGCTCCCCCAAATCCTGGGGTGGTAGGGGCTTATCACCGTGCAGATCCAAGCGGACACTAGGCACCAGGTGACACTGGCTTTAGGAGTTGGCAGGGGATGTGCCCTAAGCTGAGCAGCAGTTCAATAAGCTTCCCTTTCCTCCGTCTATTTTTCCTTCCTCTCTGCTTTATTCAAGTAAACCTGCCTTTATCTACCCTGTCTCTGGCCTGCTCCTCCCTTGGAATGTATTCAAATAAAACCTTAACTCCCCTTCACTACTGTGTTTCTGCCCTTCAATTCATTGCTGCGGCGGGGATCAGAACTGAGGAAAAGAAACTCCCCCGACAGAAGCATACCAGTCACGGTCCAGTCAGCAAAGGAGAATCCACTCAAGAGATTCAAACAAAGAGCTCAGTGCAGGGAACTGGAGGTTCAGGCGGTGGAAGAGGAGACTGCCCAGAACTTAGCAATACCAGGAAGCAGCTGCCATCCTGGGACTGAAAAATCCCAGAGATGGGTGGCATTCCCAGAGCCCAGAAGCTGAGATTGTCTGATGGGAGTCCCAGACCTTGGCAGGGCCACCCAGGGACCTCTGGAGTCTGGAACCATCGGGTGAGGAGCTGTCTGAAAGAAGGAGAAACACCTGTTGCAGAAAATGCCAGAGAGAGAAAGTGAAATACCCTGGCCTCTCCAGCCTCTCACCTTCTGCCACATTTCCTGTAGCTTGACCATCCGGGAGGCCAGAGGGCCACGGCACCTAGGAAGTGTAGCTCCCCTGAGATGCAGAGCAGGGAAGGGGAAAAAGGTGAATCTGAGAGCAGAAATGAGAGAAAAAGGTGGACTTTATTTATTTATTGTTGGTTTGTTTTGTTTTAAGAAGGGCTAGACCTCATGTAATTGTGGGGCTGGCAGAGCAGTGGGTGAAGGCTGTTTGCTGCCTCCCATCTAGGGAAGTCTGACATTGCTGAAAGTCAGGGAGGAAAGTTAACAGTGGATGGAAGGACAAACAGGAACCCCAAAGATGAAATAGAACCCACACGCTGGACACCATGGGGTCCCTGTCTGTCTGTCACCTGCTCCAGCCTCACTGTCACTGTGCAATGTGTGACACTGGCGCCTCTAATCCTGGAGCCCCGGGTGTACTTGGTCCAGGGCTTGGGGAGCTGGAAAAGGAGAGCTGGCGGGAGCTAAAGGAGCTGCTCATTCAGGTGGCCCCCACCCTCTGGCGCTGAGCCCACTGAGACCAAGAACATGATGCTACCTCTCTGGGGTGGCCCAGACTGCGTATCATGGCCCTGGTGCCAGAGCTAACTCAAACTCATGGAGGGAGAACTCGTGGAAATGTGGGCCTTAATTAACTAGGTCAACACAGCATTAAGCTACCTCGGGATTGCTCCTTGGTTTCCAGTCTGCAGCTGCTCCTTCTGGTACAGCTGCTCCCCTGGGAAGCCCTGGGGGACAGGAGCGGGAGTCGTGAAGTCCGATCCAGGCTTTCTGGAGACCCGGCTATAACACACCATCTAAAGTAATAGTGCTCAGTTTTGTCTTAGCACCTGAGTCATTTCAGGAGGTGCCTTGTATCACTCAAGACTGATTAAATCAGAACCTGAGCAGGGAGGGGTGCGCCTCTGTGGGTTTTGGCATCTCTCCGGGTGATCCCAGTGTGCCTCCAGGATGAGAACCACTGGTCTATGGGGCCCGGATCTCACTGAGGTCCCCTGATGATGTGTAGTTTATGGGGAAGTTTGTGATTATCTCACACTGGGACAGGAGGGAGGATCAAGCGTAGGCTGGTTTATATATATGCAGAGCTGTTTTAAGAAGCAGAAGTAAATATAAGCCTTCATCTCTGATGCTGCTACATAGACTTTGCTGCCTCCAAAGCTTGAGCTTGAGAAAGATGGACCAATGGGAAGTAAGAGCCGCTTATGCTGTGACAGCCAGCTCTGAAGCCAGGAGCAGAGGAAGCATCCTGTGAAAACCATGGGTGCTGGGTGAGAGGGTGGGGTGCGGAGGAGGGTGGCCTGTGGGGTCATGAGAGGCTTAGCATCTCATGTAACCTCTCAGCGTCCTTGAACTGATCCCCAAAGTGGGGCCAAGGGCAGGCAGGCATTCATGACCCATAGTCAGCCTCTTAGGTGGGTGCTGGGGCCTGTCCCATCTGGGAGCCGAGGAGCCGGAGGGGAGGCCCTGGCCCTCTGTGCCTGCTTCCATCCATGCCCACCACACCCCATGCATGGTCCTGCCTCTGGGACAGTGGTGTGAGCTGGGTCCCTCACTGGAATAGTCTATGTAGTTCTATTGTGCAGCCAGATGAGG